CGCCCACTCGGCCGCCTTCTGCTCTCCCCAGCACCCTCTTACCTCCCCCGGGAGCGTCAGCTCCTCCCGAGACTCCAGTGTGCCTGGCTCTCCCTCCAGCATCGTGGTGAGTACCTGTGGCGGCCAGCAGCACCCTCAGGCTGGGAGGAGGGGGGTGGGTGCCCAGGTCACTCAGAGCCCCCCCCGTGCACCCCACGGCTGTCCTGCCGGCGCAGGCAGGCGGAGAGAACCCAGAGATCCGGAGGAGGCTCCCCGGCCCCCCTCAAGGTCTGCTCTGGTTGCTCACAAAGTGCGACGCAAAGAGACTGTCATTTATTTTAAGGTGACGTCTCAGTCTTTAAAATAACGGAGCCCTTCATGTGTGCGACCTGACAGCTCAACCGGCTGTCTGAATTCTTGGCTGCAAGCAAAGCGGCCGGTGGGGCGAGCGTCCTGGGCGAGGCCCTCGGCACATCCGGTGCATTGGTGCTGTTTCCCCTCAGGCCAAAATGGACAACCAGGTGCTGGGCTACAAGGACCTGGCTGCCATCCCCAAGGACAAGGCCATCCTGGACATCGAGCGGCCGGACCTCATGATCTACGAGCCCCACTTTACCTACTCCCTCCTGGACCACGTGGAGCTGCCCAGAAGCCGGGAGGTGAGGGGTCCGTTTGGACGCAGGCCACAGGGTGGGGAATGGAATCCACTCACGCCGTCCTTCTTGGCGGCCGGCATCGGTCGCAGGAGCAAGGGCATGGGACACAAGAGTCACGGCATGGAGTGGATCAATCATCCAGTGTTTACGCGGAGGGGCGGTGGCCCACGGCTGGGGTGTGGCCCGGATGTAGAGGGCAGGGGAGGCCGGGGCTGAACTGCAGCAGCGTGGGGGAGGGGGTTCTGTGGGAAAGAACAAAATGTGCACAAGGTGAAGGGCGGACGCCCCAGCTGAGGGACCTGTGGAGGCTGAGGCCTCCGTTTCTCTCCGGTAACACAGAGCTGTTAGTGCTGCCTGTCCATCCCACAAGGTGGTCGTTGTGATGAGTCAGTGTGTGAACAAGTCTTCTCTCAGAGAGGGATAGTGCCAGTCAGGTGCGGTGGTGCTTGCATGTAATGCCAGCACTCGGGAGGCTGAAGCAGGAGGATTGCTGGGAGTTCTCAGCCGGCCTGGCTACATAGTGAGGTCAAGGCCACCCCGCAGGCATAGAGAGATCCTGTCTCAGAGTGGGGGAAGGGTGGTGTTATGGCGGAGCAGTGAGCTGGGGCATCAGAACTCAAATACCAGGTCCAGGAGCCTGAGCTTTGTCCTTGGCTGCATGTCGGGCAGCTCACTGCCGTTCCTGGCTGGGCTCTGAGGACAGGGTGTTGCTAGTCCGCAGTTGCCCCTTGGAGCACCGGGCATGCAGCTCCAGGTCATGCACTACTCTGGCTTCCAGTGGAGAGCTTAGGGCAGTGCTTTCCGGGCTGGGATTGGCAGGGGTCTAAGAGAAGAGAGGTGCGGCAGCCTCAGACCCCAGGGAGGGGGCTTTAATTCTGTGCTAGTGACTGACCAGTCCTCTCCATCCACAGCGCTCTCTGTCACCCAAGTCCACGTCCCCCCCACCATCCCCGGAGGTGAGTGTGCCCAGCCTTGCTCTGATGGGGCTGCATCCCCCCACCCCACCACACGTCCAGTCGAAGCTCTGCAGAGCCCAGAGGACGGCAGAACCAGCAGGTTCCGGCTGGTCCCTGCCCGCTCGGTGGCCACTTCTCTGGGGCAGGCAGTGCCTGTGGCTGGGGCGGGGAGGACAGCAGAGGGTGGCGCTCCAGGAAGCTGGGGGTCGGAGGGGGCGCGGGAGACCTGGGAGCTGCACGCTTCTTCTCTGCAGGTGTGGGCAGAGAGCCGGACCCCGGGGATCCTCTCCCAGGCCTCAGCCCCGAGAGTCACCGGGACCCCCCGCACCAGCCTGCCACACTTCCACCACCCTGGTAGGTTTCCCAGCTGGCGTGGCTGCATCCTTCCCTGCGACCGCTCTGTTCTCGTACTCCTGGTCCCCCTCCTTTGGGGCATGAACTCGCCACAGCCTCAGCTGGACCCCGTGTTCCCGGGGCCCTGCACCGTCCTCCCTCTCCCTGAGGAGCGCCAGGACCTCCAGTTCTGCCTCAGCTCTGGGCACATTGTCTGTCCTCGTGCCCCTGGGATTTCCTGCATCAGCGTGTCCTCAGCTGCTCCTGTTCTCTCTCTCAGAGACCACCCGGCCAGATTCCAACATCTACAAGAAGCCGCCCATCTACAAGCAGAGAGGTAAGGGGCCCCTTCCTGCCATGTCCTGGGGGCTGTGCTGGTGCCACAAGAATAACTGTTCATAACAGCGTGTCTGACATGAGGGCACGCATGCGTAATCCCAGCATCCTGGGAGGCTGAGGCAGAAAGATCACAAGTTTGAGCTCAGCCTGCAAAACTTAGCAACTTAGTGAGACCTAGTCTCAAAAGGACAAAAAAGCAAAATAAAATAAAAAAGCCAACAAACAAAGCCAGGTGTGGTGGCGCACACCTGTAATCCCAGCACTCTGGAGTATGAGGCAGGAGGATTGTTTGGAGTTCAAGACCCCCCTGGGCTACAGAGTGAGCTCAGGGCCAGCCTGAACTGCATAGTGAGACCCTGTCTCAAAAAGACAAAAAAACCACAAAAAGCCCAACAGACAAACAAAATATATTTGTATGATGTAATGCTCAGTGCAGAGGCCCTGGGTCCATTCCCAGTATTGCTGACACACACACCCCCGCCCCAAATGTCACATTGGGCATTGGCCCTGTGCTTGCTGCTGTGCTTTACATCCGGGACCTCACCGGTGCCGGGGACAAGGGCAGCTGCGTGGACCCGGCTGGGTGGCCTGGGTGGCTGTGTGTACAACTTTGGTCTCCATCCACAGAGTCCACGACGGGCAGCCCTCAGAGCAAGCACCAGATCGAGGACCTCATCATCGAGTCGTCCAAGTTCCCTGCAGCTCAGCCTCCGGACCCTAACCAGCCAGCCAAGATCGAGACTGACTACTGGCCGTGTCCCCCATCGCTGGCCGTTGTGGGTAGGAAAACTGGAGACAGGAGAGAGGGAGGCCAGGGCCCTCCCGGCCTCTCCCTGTGGGCCCTGTTCAAGCCCCCAGCTCAGCTCCTCCCCACCCCCACCCGTCCCTCTTGGGCTTTTGGCCTCTCCAGCCTTTCCTCCCATTCATTTAACTTTTCTCCCTTTTTGCTTTGACTCTTGTTATTGGCATTGTCTGTAGTCCATGGTGAGCCTGTTCCTGGTGGGGAGGTGGCCCACGTCCTGACACATCTTAACTTGTCCCTGTCCCCGTCCTTCTCTCCCTCCCTGCTTCTCCCAGTTGTTTCTTTGATCCCTCAGCAGATATTTCCCAAACTCTTGCTGAGTCTTGGGCCCTGAAATCTGAGCTCTGGAAGAAAGATAAGTGACAGTGGGCAGTGCAGGGGCACATCTGTAATCACGCTGCTAGGGAGGCTGAGGCAGGAGGATCAAAATTTCAAGCCCAACCTGGCCAGTTTAAGGAGACCCTGTCTCAAAAAATAGAAAGAGCTGGGGTATAGCTTAGTGGTAGAGCACTCTGGGTCCCATCCCTAGTACCGGAAAAAAAAAGAAAAAAAAAAAATATATATATATAATTTAAGTCATATATATGTGTTTCTTACCCCACCGCAAGGCACACAAATGTTTTGTTTTGTTTTGTTTTGTTTTTTTCTGGTACTGGGGATCGAACTCATGACCTTGCGCTTGCTGTGCTTTACATCCGGGACCTCACCGGTGCCGGGGGCAAGGGCAGCTGTGTGGACCCGGCTGGGTGGCCTGGGTGGCCTGGGTGGACGAACTCAGACCTGGGCAGGCACTGTGCCGCTGAGCTAAATCCCCAGCCCCCAGAAATGTTATTCTGTTATTATTTTCGGTGCTGGAGACTGAGCTCAGGACCGTGTGCATGCTAAGCGTGTACTTCATCTCTGAGCTAGGCTCCTAGTCCTATTTTATTTTATTTATTTATTTTTGTTATTGTTTTTGGGTCAGAGTCTTGGTATGTGTTCAGGCTGCCCTTGAACTCACTGTGGAGCCCACCCAGGCTGGCCTTGAACTCACAGCGATCCTTCTGTCTCAGCCACCAGAATGTTGGGAGTAGAGGCATGCACCACCATACCTGGCTCCTATTTTATTTATTACTATTGTTTAAATTTGTAGTGCCCGGTACAGTGGCTCACAGCTGTAGTCCAAGTTTACTTGGGAGACCAAGGCAGGAGAGCTCTTGAAGCCAACGTCAGCAACATAACAAGACTTTGTCTAAAAATATATATATTTTTTTAATTTAAAAAGCTACAAACAAAGAAGTTATCTGGGCATGGTGGCACACACCTGTGATCCCAGCACTCAGGAGGCTGAGGCAGGAGGATCATTGCGAGTTCGAGACCAGCCTGGGCTACAGAATGAGCTCAAGGCCAACCTGAACTGCATAGTGAAACCCTGTCTCAAAAACACATAAAAAAGAAGTCATAGCACCTCTGAGTACCTAGGAGGCGCATGAGCGCAGGCTGAGTGGCCTCTTATTCCTGTGTGTCCTAGAGACCGAGTGGAGGAAGCGGAAGGCATCACGCAAGGGGGCAGAGGAAGAGGAGGAGGAGGAGGATGACGACTCTGGAGAAGAGATGAAGGCGCTCAGGGAGCGGCAGAAAGAGGAGCTCAGCAAGGTCCTGGCTGCCCTCACCCCACCCTGTCTCTGAGTGGAGGCTCTGGGCCAGCAAAGTGCCCTCCTTGGACAGGGGACAATGTCACCTGCAGCGTGCCTCACTCTCCACCTTTGGAAGATGAGGAATGGGGGTCTGAGACTCAGCCGCATTCTCCTTTCTCCTGCTCAGGTTACTTCCAACTTGGGAAAGATGATCTTGAAAGAAGAGATGGAGAAGTCATTGCCGATCCGGAGGAAAACCCGCTCCCTGCCTGACCGGACGCCCTTCCATGCCTGTGAGTGTCCTGCATAGTGCTGGGGTCGCCTGGCCAGACACGGGCGACTCCCTGCACTGCTAGAGCCCTTAGGAGGTTCCGGCCCATAGGGTGGGCCTCAGCCCTGGCCCACAGTGGCGGGAGGGAACATCTGCTCCAGCAGGATCAGTGGTGTCATTCCATGTGGCCGATGTGTGCCGAGGATCTGCCACGCACAGCTGCCGGGGCCGTCACAAGTGCCCAAGAGTCTGTTCCCCAGGAGCGTGTGTTCGGTGGGGAAACGTGGTGTGGAGCCTGGGATTTTGCTTTTGTCTTTGTGTTTGTGTTTGGTACTAGAGATTGAACAGTGACAGCCCTGAGGCTGAACTGAGTCTGGAAGGACGTGACAGAGTGAGGAAGGCAGCTGGGGATTTAGCTCGGCGGCACAGCGCCTGTCTGGCAAGCGCAAGGTCATGAGTTCAATTCCCCGTAACAGGGAAAAAAAAAAACACAACAAAAAAAAAAACCAAGTGAGGAAGGCAGAGTGAGTGGGGACGGCCACTTGCAGACGTCAGGGACAGCCTGGAGCACAGGCTGGGGCCAGAGACCCTCCTAGCTAGGAGTGCAGTGTCCTGCACAGGGAGGCGGGCGTGTGGTGGGCCGGGCTCTGCACGCCGTGCCCCTGCTTATCCTGGGCTTCCCAAGGCCCCGGTGGCCACAGAGAGGGGGAAGGGGGGTCTGAGGACCCTGAAGTGGGGGCCAGGAGGCTCTCAAAGCCTAGCCTGGGAGGCCGGGCTGTGTCTCTTCCTCAGTGTCCCTCGGTCAGAGCAAGTCACCAAGCAGCAGGGACACAGGCTCCACTTCTTGGCTAAGGGGCTGCGGGGGCTCACTGCAAAGCAAGCAGACGAGAGGACATGGCGTCTCCTGAGCCGCTGTCCCACTCGCCAGTAGTCTGCTTTGGACTTCCATCACTGTACCAAAGGGCTTGAGGCGGGTTAACCCAACAGAGAGAATGGGCTTCTGTAGCTCCTAGGAAGTTCAAGAGCCTGCATTCAGTGATGGCTGTTTTGCTGGCAGAGTCCTGAGGTGGCATAGCCACCCTCCATGGCAAGAGACAGAGAGAGAGGGAGAGAGAGAGAGAGAGAGAGAGGGAGAGAGAGAAAGAGAGAGAGAGAGAGAGAGTATATGTGTTAGTGTCTGTGTGGCCTTCCCCCCTCTTTTTTTTTTTTTTT